AAACAAGTATTATGCAGTTGTTAAAAACGAAAATCTAAGTTAGGTTCTTAATTCATCATCTTTATTTATCTTAATTTATTAATTTACTTGATAGTTGCTGAAAGATATCAAGACACAAATTTATTTCTGAAATTCCATTAATTCTGAAGAGAAGGGTAATTTGTTTATGAGAACTCTACCTTTCCCGACATTGGAGAAGAAGGACTAGCACAGGGGCTAGGATAGCTACTGCTGTCTGTAGACTTCACTGATGATTGATCTGACCTGTCATCTGAAGTTCGCTTGGAGTGCAAACTGTTTGTTTCTTTGTACTTCTTTGGCTGGTGAAGTGTGGGAGGCGTAGATTTCATTAACATTCTAAGTGGTAAAGGTAGATACAGGACACAATAAGAGTTTTGTAAGCGGTCACAGAACAATTTACATCTATATATGCTTGTTGCATGACTATATTACATTAAAGTAATTCCAAAATATATTAAATACTAAAAAAATAGTGACCGTCCATTGGTTTTGAATACTAAGGTCAAACCCCTCCTGCTACTTCTTTGCAGAGATCATAATTCACAGGCAATATTGCTGACTGCTCTCTCAAACAGCAGAAATACTCCTCAATGAAATCACAACTACAATGCACCATAGGACAGTATCAATATTGTTTCTTCCTCTTTATTACTAGCAGAAATTCAAGTGATGTTTCTATAGCTAAATAAATTACAACCTACAGTCTCTAGAAGATCTCAAAAGCTTACTTTTCAGCATTAGAGGAGTCATCAGCGAATTCAGTTTCTGCTGAGCTTTTTCTGCTGTTGGTTGACCTCCACGTAGATGCTACAGGAAGTTCTTCACAAGTCATAGGTCTTGGTCTCTGACCAATTCCTGAAGGCTGCTGCAAACCTGCAGACTGTTCTTCAGCACTTAGAACAGCTACAACTGCTCTTACAGTTGTTTCATCAACTGGAGACCACGGTTTAAAAGGAGCTCGCATACGACGCAGAAATAAATTATGCCACTTCAGTCTGAGTTGCAACAGCAAACCAGCAGCCTGTAATGAATTTCAATTCCGTTAAAGGCTAATAAAAATTAAACCAGACAGGTAAGGATACCCTACATCTTTCCTATGAGGCAGCATCTGGCATTCTAAAATGAACATATTACAAATGGAATGGCAAGACTAAACTGCCAGGGAAGGGGGGAAAATCCTACATTTAACTAAGCTGTTATCTTTTCTTTCCTTGGGTGCAAGGTCATTTTTAGAACATTTTATTTCATTTAGCTCTGCACCAAACATATTGTAAATCCACAGGATTTTTTATTTTTCACTTTAAAACTTTTTTTT